GTCTTTCGTGGGGGTAAAAAGGTTCTCATGAGACGTAGATTTTAGGGGCGCGTTTACCCCGGCTCGTTTCGGTGTGAACGCGATAAAAGAGGCTAACGTCCACGCTAGCTGCTATATGTTTTGCATTGAGTGTGATACTTGAGGCTTGATGTGCTGCTGGTGATATGCGATTCCTTTTGCATAATTTGCACACAAACCGTGCTCTTATCGACGCTTCCATCCGTCCGTTTTTTACAAACAACATTCCCCACTGTTGTTCACTGTGGTTTGTTGTTGTCTGAAGTCATGAAAGTTAGTTGGTGCTCCAGTATAATCGGTTACGCCTGAAACTCATCCAGTGAGAAACGTTCCGCGGTGCAAAAATAAGTGCGATTAAAATGCGTACATTTTTTAACGCGTTAATTTTTGTGTAATTAATTAATCTTAATTAACGCGTTAAAGTCCCGGCCCTAATTTATATACATTTTAAGTATCCATATATGTATGTTTACAGTTCCACCGAATTATTATATTGTTATTTGATATATTCCGTGTTTCACTCGTATACCTGTTGCTGCTTTACCGATAGAATAACCCTATGGGGATTAATAAAGGTTTGTCTAATCTTAAATATGATAATCTTCTTGCATTTCTACATTTCATATCATAATAAACTGAAAATATCTTTGGGATTATTGACCATTTGTCGGGCAAAACAAGCCATTTCAAGTCAGTATGCAGGGCTCTGGTTAACGGAGTACACGACTAATGTTGGAGATTTGGAGGGATAACTGGTCCGCTTTTCAAATCTCCGCGCCTTTCCTATGAAGCTGGTTATAATACAGGAAGGAATCCATATCTACAAAGTAACCGTTAACAATAATCTACTTTAATAGCAATATGACAATGCAATACAATCATTACAATACAACATGATATATTACAGTTATATTGTAATATTTAAGGAGTAATGCCGGCTTACTCCTGCCCTGGTTCGCGTGCTGCGGAGATCCTTTCGCTCGAGGCAGCATGTGAAGAGAGATCGAACGCCAGGGATCCACCGGAGATATACCAGAGCAAGAAGGAGGGGTTAGGGTTTAGGTCAGCTGGTCATCTTTTCAGGTCATCTCATTGGGAGACGCAACGCTGGCCAGCAGGAAACCAAACAGGCTCACTTTACAACAAAAGGTCTCAAGGGCCTGCATACCTACACCTCCCCCACAGAGCAATAAAACCCTGTTTACTCCAATCAGCCCAGAATGTTTATAGCCATTTGTAGTCCTTACATTTATGAAAGGATAAAACAGAGAAATCAATATAAAACACAAACACAGGTATTGTTTGAACAGTATTCACTTAACTGCTACTATTGATAACCACCAGAGAAACCAAGGGACCTCTCTTAATTTCACAACCACTGTAGCTCGTTCTAAGTTGAATGCAAATCAGGACATGCTCTCCCATCTTCCTTTGTCCTCAAAAACACATGTCAACAGGCCCCATATCCAGCTCACAGTTTTAACCAAATTATTCCCATTTTAAGCTTATCCATAGTTTGCTAACATGAATAAATACAAATATAACTCTACAAATCCCCCTTTTTATCTCCTTCTCCAGAGATAACTTAGACAAGGCATTTTGAAATATACCCACTGTCATTCTTTTCTACTGTGTCCGTAAATCCATCCGAAGCTGGTATTTAGAGTACTTGAAACCTTCATGGAGACAGAACACCACTTTCCATGGCAGTGAAGGAACCATGAGGGGGTAGCTGAGTGCTAGAATCATCAGCCCCCCCCCCCCCTCGGAGGAATAGCCCACAAGGACAGCTAATAGGGAGGGGGAGATGCAGCTTTCCCTTCACGGGTAGAACTGATCAGAGCGAAGTAGACTCCTCTGCTGCCTCGACAAGTCCCCTGTGCCGTCCTGGCTTGCCGTGTCTTTGTCCCCCCAATCCGCTGACAGCAGCTTCTGGGCTGCCTGCTAGAGAGATGCCTTCCTCCTCCTCATCCTCCGGCCCGCTGATGGCGGCTTCCGGGTCGATGCTGGAGAGATGTCTTCCCGATCCTCCTTCTCCGGCCCGCTGATGATGCCTCCCGGGTCGTCTGCTGTAAGGATGCCTCCAGGGTCCTGCTCCTCCAGTCCGCTGCTTCCGAGTAGTCCACGTCTGCCAGGGCCACGTCCGTCCTGATGTCGTCCCCTGGTCCGAGCAGGTGGTTTCCCCGCCGCACACTGGCTCCCGTGGTACGAGCTGTCCCCCTTTTCTCCCAGGCAGACGGCATAAGAGGTCCGCTGGGTCACTCGGTCGGGGTCGGAGAGCCTGGGGTTGAGCCACTTTGTCCTCGTGCTTTTCGGGTCCCCCTTTTGGCGCCATCGACCTGTGTGGAGAAATCTGATACAACTCCCTCAAGCCTACGCTCAGCTGTTTTGACCCACTTGGAGCCTGTTGTTGGGGTGTCTTGAAACAACAGCCGTCTGTGAACAGGTTTTCTAAATTAATTGTAGACCTCCTATCTGCCAGTGCAGCTTCAGAATCTTAATACTTGGATTGTGCCAACTAAATAAGAACCTCAACATCTTTAGGTAAACTAAATAACATATTTCAATAGCTCTGAATTTCTGACAAGCATCCGTGTTTATTTTTAAATGAAATCCTATTTAAAATCTAAATATAATATGAACTGCTAATGTTTCTGGTAAAGAAACACACTAATGTTATGGATTCAAAAACAACCAAAATCACGATACTAACAAAGTGAATGATTTCCTGGTGATACTGCTTCTACCTGTCAGTGCTTAGATATTATCACGCTGAAAAAATGAATACAGAATTCCAACAAACTGTCATCAAATGTCTTTCTATTATAATTTAGATGAAATGTATATCCCCATAATGACCTAAACAATAAAGTCTATGGCTTTTACTCCTTTACCAGGCTAGTTACATGATGTTGTCTAAATTAAATTCTGTCTCAATACACTACTATGTTTTAGCTTTAACTGTAATATGTTCTTTCTACATTTCAAACCTCAGTTGCTCTAATGTCTGTTAAAATATTACAAAATTGTTTCATTATCACAGGTCAACTTCTTCGGTTTCACAGTAGCCCCTTGGCCACTGCTTCTTTGTTACCTGTTATAATTCAAATCAATATTTAGAAACATCTCAACATTCATCAAACAGTATCTTATCCCCAGATATGGAGCAGGTTAATTACATTCAATGCTCAGTTTTAACATCTGTGTTGGGGCGGAAGGTTTCTGTCAATCCTTAAAAGAAACATTTAAATTGTGAATTTTACAGCCATGTTAACCTTTATACATTATACTCACTCCCCCCTTTTACACATGAAATCATGTGTAACAAAACCCTGTAATGGGAGGGGAACAAAAACTGTCAGGTAATTGGTTAGGGACATAACGAACATTATTTTCAATTTGACATCATTATCATTATTTCCACAGTGAACACTTCAGTGAAAAGAAGTGTTCCTCTCCGTCCTTCAGGCCTAAAAGAAACAGAATCTTCAGATTTTAGTTTTACATTTGCAAACCGCCAACTCATGTGAGAGGAAAATACACATGCCGGCATTCATTCACACTCACACTGTCTGGTTGTCATGTCAAGTTTGGTCAGCTTCACCCCAGAGTCAGTCATCCACAGTGCCTTGTCAAGTTACACTGTCGGTCAGGGTCAAAGGTCAGTTGGTCTCCGTCTTTTTTGGCCATGTGTCGTGCTCTGCAGAGACTTTGACATTTCAGCATAGGCCAGTATCCTTTGTCTACAAAAATATGTCACGATTTCAACTATAATTTTCAAGATGATTCTCACTTTTCATTGGGACTTCTGCCTCCCACTTTTCCTGAAACTTGGTACAAAACTCACTTCCTTCGAGTACCACTACTACTGCAATCCAATTACACCTAATTAGTATTAAAATGTCTAATGATCTATTTCAGAAACTTGTGTACATAACTATTATCTTGAGTCAAGACATTACTAGGATCTGTGTCGCTCTGCATTTCATAGCTCATTATAATTCTGGTCTACTTAAAAAACAATGTTAAACTCTTTTAGCAGTGTGTGGAACCTTGGGTGTCCGAACATGCAACAATTACTCCCTCCTTTATCAAGGATTTAAACCTATGGTAATAACTATGCCACAATGGTGAAATCAACACTTTAGATTGGAATTTAATATGTGGCTTGGCACCAGCTCCCTTTTTAACATTATTAATACAAATACAGATTTGTCTTATAGAGTGGTTCCTAAAACTATCCTTTTAATGGTGATCAATATTGTAACCAATGAGATCACTACTTTATTCACACGTGAATAAAAATGTCTTAAAGAATGATTTGTTAACATGATGAAAATATTGAAGAATATGGTTCTACTCTGTCAGTGTGTTTTAGGATGATTATCATTTTACTTTAATAGTTTCCTCTTTACTGCTATTTTTAATTTACCAAATGATTAATAAATCTTTCTGTCTTTACGTATTTCTGAAGTTAATTCAAGTTATTTAAATGTGCGTTTCGTGAATAAGTGTGTTTATGTGTAACTCACTCATTCCCGTTCTCCTTTCCTCCTCCCCTGGTTTTCTCAAGCCGTGACCCCGGCCTCCTCACTTCTAATCGACCATGCCAACTCCTCTGATTCTGTCTTCTCTTCAGTCCATCAGCTGTTGAATCCATCCACTGTAACTTTTTTAGGCAGCCATTGGCCCAGTTACATCCGCAGCCCCATCATGCCACTGTTGTTGCACTCCTCCTTTACAGTCTCTCTGCTGTTTTTATGGAGGGCGGATTCTGCTCTCATGTCTATTGTGCCAAATCTCGCGGCGCAGTTTGGAACTTCATGTCCTGTTTGAGGGACCGATGAGAGTTTGCCTCTTTGTCAGCATGCTGGTTTGGTTCTGGATGCCACAGGTGGAGATAGTTCTGGCTGCAGTCTTGATGTAGTCTTGTTGTTGTTGTTGTTGGTTCAGCTCTGGTTCTCTGTCTGTACGATGGAGAAGGAGGAGTCTCCTGTTGGGTTAGGTCTTTTTGTCTGCTTGGAGGGTCGGGATCAAAGCCTTTCTAACTCAGAGGGGGAGTCCAGGTCCCGGTACACATTACCTATAAGAATTCTAGCCCACTGATGTTAAATAAATCCAACCCTTTCCACTCTGTCTCTTCCTAATCATACTATCTGTCTTAGTTGTTCAATGCCATCTAAACAACATAATTAATGTATACTAATGATATTACAAAAACTCACTCTAAAAATTGTTTCATCCATTGCTACATATTTACCCAACACAACTCTGAAATACTTACATGTTTCCAGCATCACATATTCCACACACTACGAAAAAAAAACAAAAAAAACATCCCCATATTTTCTCTCATTTTAAATCCCACTGTCACTTCGAACAATAGTAAACCTGCAGAGCACACCAATCGGATCACAGTAATGAAATTTGAATCAAGTGTAGGCCAATGTCTACTTTCTGAACATTTATTTATATAGCCTTGTCTATGATGTGCAAACAGTTCGAGTGTAAAATGTGTATTTCACAATGTATACACACTCTACAGATTCTTGAGTTTACTCATCTCCTGGTGCTGTCGTTGTAAAAAATATAGCCCCTTTCAGCCGCTTGATGGCAGCAGCAGAAGTTTCAAGGGTGTGATACCCCCTTTCAGCCACTAGATGGCAGCAGCAGAAGTTTACAGACAAAGGGAAACGCTCTCCCTCGATTTAACATATAACAGAGCTCTGGCTTTAAGCTTTCAGCCTTGGTCTGTTATTTAACCCCAGTTTTAAACGGCGACTCGATCTGATATATCGAGTTTCCAGGTTTTGTCGTGCAGGAATCAAACCTCGCACCGAGAAACTGCACCATCTCCACGCCACTCAGGAATAAACTACCTGTAGATCCACGCCAAACTGCTCTATTTTACGTCACGCAGGACTTTCGTCTACCTGTCGATCAACGTTTACGTTTTGTATATAACTTTCCTAACATAGTAAAATATGCATTGTATATTCCATTTAAACTTTAAAAACACTGTGAAACGCCTACAGACAATCCTAAAGTTTTAGCGTATCCAATTACAGACAGGCGATTTTCATCGTCTGCGTACCTTATTTGCAGAGTTGCAGAGTCCTGCTGATTGTCTGAGATGTTTGAAAGCGTCTGAATTCTTCCTCAGCTTCGTTATATCTAGACGTCAGGTCACCATTTGTAAGAGATTTGGGGGGCAAACTGGGCCGCTTTTCAAATCTCCGCGCGTCCCTATCCAGCTGGTTATAATACAGGAAGGAATCCATATCTACAAAGTAACCGTTAACAATAATCTACTTTAATGGCAATATGACAATGCAATACAATCATTACAATACAACATGATATATTACAGTTATATTGTAATGCTTAAAGAGTAATGCCGGCTTACTCCTGCCCTGGTTCGCGTGCTGCGGAGATCCTTTCGCTCGGGGCAGCATGTGAAGAGAGACCGAACGCCAGGGATCCACCGGATATATACCAGAGTAAGAAGGAGCGGTTTGGTGTTAGGTCAGCTGGTCATCTTTTCCGGTCATCTCATTGGGAGACGCAACGCTGGCCAGCAGGAAACCAAACAGGCTCACCTTACAACCAAAAGTCTCAAGGCCTGCATACCTACACCTCCCCCACATCTTCCTTTGTCCTCAAAAACACATGTCAAAAGGCCCCAAATGCAGCTCACAGTTTTACCCAAATTATTCTCATTTTAAGCTTATCCATAGTTTGCTAACATGAATAAATACAAATATAACTCTACACTAATAATTTGATGGAGAAGACTCAAGTTGACGAAGATGTATTTTCTTCACCTTCTGTTCCCTGAAGCGCCCGTCGATGATGCTGCCGCACAGGTCGTCCATCCTCTTCCTCTCGATGATGTAATCCAGGACGAGCTCACGGCCAACGGGGGTCCGCAACTGACCTGGAGTCAGAGAAAGACTAAATGATTACGAGTTGGAATTTATTACAAACATTGGGACATTGCAGAAGCGGTGGACGGTTAAAGTGAAGAGAGTAAACCACGGTGAGGAAATGTTGAATACGGTTCGTCTATTTGGAGAATTGTAAGCTCTGGTTGTGCTTTTATTGTATTTCTGTTGAATTTGTTAATTTATTTATATTCTTGGTCTGTACTTTAAACTGATTTCTACTAACTGCACACTTTTCATTTTAGCATTATTTTGTAATCTGCCATATGTCTAATGTTCGGTTGTGTTTGTGTAATGTGATAAATGTAAAAAATCAATAAATACATGTTTAAAAATAAAAATAATAATTACGAGTTTATGTAGATAGTTTTGAGACATGCTAAGGGACAAAAGGTGATGGGATTCTCTTCCTCACTTCCTGTGTATTTTACTTTATGTTCAAGGTCCCCTATTATACTGTGTTTCATCAATATATTACAGGTCTTAGATATATACAGAGCCTGGCTCTGATTGGCTGAAACACCAAACAGATCATTGCAGCATTACCCATAATCCCCTCTGTTTCAGCCCTGTTTCCAAAGTGCTGATTCTCTGTCTGTTAATTTAGATGAAAATAAGGAGCCCCTCCCCACGCCCCTCTGAGAGAGATTTGGTTACAAAGAACACATAAGGTACTTTCACACCGGAGTACTTTTCCCTTTTAGTTCCGATACTTCCTGGGATTTTGCGTTCACAACAAAAAGAGAACTTAGTTCATGAGAACTTTTCCCAGCTTTTCAGTCCCTGCTAGAGAGGTGCTACTCTCCTGGGGAGAAAAAAGTTCAAATTTCTGATTGGCTGGGCGGATTGCAAACCACGCCCCGTAAAACTCTGAAAAGTTTTGTGAAGCCGCCATTGTATTTGTGGCATTAGCATTATTAGCATTATTAGCATTCGCCCCGCGCACCAACAGAGAGATACTAACTTATGGCAACACAAAATAAAACATGGGAGCGGTGGAGATGAGGAGGTGTCGGCGTTCTGGCGATGTACTCGGAAGGCTTCAGTAGAAGCTGCTGGGAGTCCCAGCAGCTTCTACTGAAGCCAGTCCCCAACTCCGGGGACTTCCGGCCGGGGACTTCGGGTGGCAGTATACGCCGTGAAGCTGTTTGCGGCCTGCCAGTAAACCCAAAGCAGAAGAAGAAGAAGTGACGTCAGCGGCTCATTTGCGTAATCTTCCCTCAGGGAACTTATTCCGGTGTGAACGCGATCGGCTCTTTAGTTCCATGGTGGAACTAAGTGCTGGGAACTAAGTACGGCAAAGTACTTGGTGTGAACGCGGCTATTGGTGCTCTAGGAGGAGATTCAGGCGATAAAGGGGGAGGGGGGGGTTACCTTGGTTACTGATTGGCTAATGGTTACACAAGCCAAAACATCGTTATGACATCATAAAGTGGCCAAAATCTGATCAGCTCATTTTCAGACAGGTTTTTATAGAAATGGATCAAAAAGAGAGAGAATCTTTGTTCCTGAAGCTTTCAGAGTCTCTTTCCACAGAGGGGACATATGTTGATGTAGAAGAGACATGAAGAAGAGGGGACACATGTTGATGTAGAAGAGACATGAAGAAGAGGGGACACATGTTGATGTAGAAGAGACATGAAGAAGAGGGGACACATGTTGATGTAGAAGAGACATGAAGAAGAGGGGACACATGTTGATGTAGAAGAGACATGAAGAAGAAGGGACACATGTTGATGTAGAAGAGACAGGAAGAAGAGGGGACACATGTTGATGTAGAAGAGACATGAAGAAGAGGGGACACATGTTGATGTAGAAGAGACATGGAGAAGAGGGGACACATGTTGATGTAGAAGAGACATGAAGAAGAGGGGACACATGATGTAGAAGAGACATGAAGAAGAGGGGACACATGTTGATGTAGAAGAGACATGGAGAAGAGGGGACACATGTTGATGTAGAAGAGACATGGAGAAGAGGGGACACATGTTGATGTAGAAGAGACATGGAGAAGAGGGGACACATGTTGATGTAGAAGAGACATGGAGCAGTGGATTTTGCACAATAGGCGAGTTGTTTTCTACGTTGTGTTACCTGGAATAGGCGCGACCTTTTCCCGAGCGACCCACAGGAAATCTCCCACGTTGAGCTTCCTCACATCGAACGTCACTCCGTTCCTCTGCAGCTCTTTGACCAGATCCTTCTTGCAGTTTTTGCTTCCGCTTCACAAACACACCGACCGTTCAGGAAACACACACACACACACACGTTTGATTCACACAGTTTAAAACACACAGCGGTCTTACCCCGTTGTCTCAATGAAGTCCACACAGAGGATGATCTCGTAGGAGCCGGGAAGGAGACTCCAGGACTTTGGCTTTCTGCTCGGTACATTTCGGGGTTTCCCTGAAAAGAACATCCCAGGAACGAGAACCCTCGGCTGGGAAGCAGAGGAGGTCGGCCTCTCTGTAGGTCTGGAAAAAGACGGTTCAATTCCTTTTATTGTATTGACAAACAGTTCAACAACACAAGTGCAATCATAAAACATAATGGAGATATTTCGGTCTTAAATATATATTACTTACACATCTACAATTGGAGAGTTCATCAGAAACATTACAAGCTAAAACACACAAAGGAAAGTCTACGTATTTTCGTATATTAAAGTAGAAAGCACCGTATTTTTCTGTATTTACTTTTTACATGTATATAGTTGACCTATTTTTGCATTTTACTTGCACCGTTCTATATATTTTTGGACTATATTTATTCCTTTTTATGTCGTAAGTTGTTGGAGGAGGCTGGGACTTAAGATTGTCAAAACCAAGACCACGTTATCTTAAATCTTGAATGTTTAACTGGTCTTAGTCTATCAGTCCAAACATATGACAAAAGGAAAATAAAGGTGCGACTTAAATGCATTTCAGAGTAGAGTTACTTGTTGAGATAATGATACGTTTTTGTCCCAGAAGTTTTGAAGCACACTCACTGTATTCTCTCCTCTTCCTTCTCCTCTTCGTCATCATCACTAACAGTGAGGTCCACAATCAATCAATCAATCAATCAATCAATCAATGTTTATTTATATAGCCCAATATCACAAATGTTACATTTGTCTCAGTGGACTTTACAGTTTGTACAAAATATCAGTATGACAATACGACACCCTCTGTCCTTAGACCCTCACATCGTACAAGGAAAAACTTCCGAAGAAAACCCACAGTTTAAAGGGAAAAATGGGAGAAACCTCAGGGAGAGCAACAGAGGAGGGATCCCTCTCCCAGGACGGACAGACGTGCAATAGATGCCGTGTGTAAATTGAAAAGATAATACATTTGCAACATAGGTAGTCCAAATGTTTGGAAATGCATGTGTGTATAATAGGAAGATGAATCCACGAGGATATCCATCCAGGATCTATGATCCAGGAACACAGCCACGACTCAAGATCCAGGACAGAGGAGCGCAGGATCATCCATGACTCCGGATCCCGGCGTATATAGCCACCAAAAAGAAAGACATTTGGGGAAGCTGGGTTAATCGGAACATGAGAGTACACAGGTATAGACAGAGAGAAGGAAGAAGTAAGATGTCCCCCGACAAACTAAGCCTATATCAGCAAAACTAGGGGCTGAATCTAATCAGCCCTAACTATAAGCTTTATCAAAAAGGAAGGTCTTAAGCGCACTCTTAAAAACGGATAGGGTGTCTGCCGCCCGAACACAAACTGGAAGCTGATTCCACAAATGTGGAGCTTGATAAGAAAAGGCTCTGGCTCCCATTGTACTTTTAGAGACTCTAGGAACAACCAACAACCCTGCATTCTTGGAACGCAATGCCCTAGTAGGACAGTAGGGTATAATGAGTTCTTTAAGGTAAGATGGCGCCTGCCCATTAAGGGCTTTGTAGGCGAGAAGAAGAATTTTAAATTCTATCCTGTGTTCTATAGGGAGCCAGTGTAAGGCAGCCAGAACAGGAGTAATGTGGTCCCTTTTCCTAACTCTGGTTAGTACACGAGCTGCAGCATTTTGAATCAGCTGAAGCGACTTGACTGACTTATTGGTACACCCTGATAATAAAGAGTTACAATAATCCAGCCTTGAAGTAACAAATGCATGGACTAGTTTCTCTGCATCGTTTTGAGGCAAGATATGCCTGATTTTTGCAATGTTACATAGATGGAAGTAGGCGGTCCTTGAAATTGATTTTATGTGGGCGTTAAAGGATAAATCCTGATCAAATATAACACCAAGATTCCTTACAGTCTCACTGGAGGCCAAATGAATGCCATCCATGGTTAATATATCCTTAGATAATTTGTTTCGTAGATTCTTCGGGCCAAGTACAATAACTTCAGTTTTGGTCGTGTTTAACATCAAAAAGTTTAAGGTCATCCACGTTTTTAAGTCCTTAAGGCAGTCTTGAATTTTATTTAGATGATTAATTTCATCAGGCTTGATTGATAAATATAGTTGAGTATCATCCGCATAACAATGAAAATGTACAGAATGATTCCTTATAATATTGCCTAACGGAAGCATATATAATGTGAACAAAATAGGTCCGAGCACTGAGCCCTGTGGCACTCCATGGCTAACTTTGGTTTGCGTGGAAGATTCATCATTGACACGTACAAACTGAGAGCGTTCAGATAGATAGGACCTAAACCAGTCTAAAGCAGTTCCCTGTATGCCAACTAAGTGCTCTAGTCTTTGCAATAAGATATCATGGTCGATAGTATCAAATGCAGCACTGAGATCGAGCAAAACAAGAATAGAGACACGTCCCTTGTCAGAGGCTATTAGAATGTCATTTGTGACTTTAACCAGAGCTGTCTCTGTGCTATGATGTGTTCTAAAGCCAGACTGAAAATCTTCAAATAAATCATTGTTTTTTAAGTAATCACACAGCTGTTTTGCGACCGCTTTCTCAATAATTTTTGAGAGGAACGGAAGATTGGAAATAGGTCTATAATTGGCTAAAACCTCTGGATCGAGGTTGTGCTTTTTAAGAAGCGGTTTTATCACTGCTACTTTGAATGATTGTGGAACATAGCCTGATAATAAAGACATATTCATAATATTTAATAAATAAGTGCTAATTAATGGAAAAACTTCCTTCAACAGCTTAGTTGGAATTGGGTCTAACATACACGTTGATGGTTTAGAAGAGAGAATCATTGAATTTAATTGTTCAAGGTTTATGGCTGAAAAGCATTCTAGTTTACTATCTAGTGTAATATTAGAACTTACGTTTCCGGGAGCTGTTGATAACACTATACTGGTCAAAGGCCAGAGGTCATTAATTTTGTTTCTAAGAGTAACAATTTTATCATTAAAAAAGCACATCAAATCATTACTACTGAGTGCTATGGGAATAGAAGGCTCAATTGAGCTGTGGCTTTATGTCAGCCTGGCTACAGTGCTGAAAAGAAATCTTGCATTATTCTTATTCTCATCTATTAATGAAGAGTAGTAGAGTGCTCTCGCTTTACGCAGTGCTTTCTTATATTCATTGAGAGTAATATGCCAAATTAAACAAGATTCTTCAAGTTTAATGGAACGCCATATCCTTTCAAGTTGTCTCGACTTTTGCTTTATTTTGCGGGTTTCGGCATTATGCCATGGAGCTAATCTATGTTGTTTTATTTTCTTCTTTTTCAAAGGAGCAACAGAGTCTAATTTTATTCGCAGCGCATCTGTAGCACTATCAACAACATGATCAATTTGGGGTGGTGTACATTTTGTATAAGTTTCCTCCCTTACATGCAGACATGCTATCGAGTTAAGTATTTGTGGAATCTCTTCCTTAAATTTGGCTATAGCACTAACAGATAGGTTTCTGCTGCAGGAGCTTTTGACTAATGCTTTGTAGTCTCGTAACAGTACTTCAAAAGTTACTAAGAAATGGTCGGATAAAGCAGGATTATGCGGTTCGACTAATAGTTGCTCAATTTCAATACCATAAGTCAGAACAAGGTCGAGAGTGTGATTATAGCAGTGGGTTGGTTTATTTACACTCTGACAAAAACCAACAGAATCTAATATAGAGTTAAATGCAACAGTAAGGCTATTTGTATCATCGTCAACATGAATATTAAAGTCACCTACGATCCCCGGGCCACCTTCTTCTCCCTCCTCCTGCTCGTTTCCTTCACTCCTGGCCTCCTCTCTGTCTCCTTCTGGACCTTTAGTTCCCTCTAAAGACTCAAGGCACTCCCCTAAAGCCAGACCCTCTTCTGTCAGAGAATACCTGAAGAGGGAGGAAGAGTGAACTCCATTTAAACGAAAGAGAAGCCCCCGTGTCCACTTCAAAACACTCTGAATCTGAAATCGTACAGAAATAATGCGTGTGTCAATCCATCGTGTGTGTGTGTGTGTTTCCTCTGTACCTTGCAGGGTTGTGAGTCTTCATCACCAGGTTCTTCTGGATCAGAGTGCTCACTGAAGACCAGGCCGTGTACTTACTGCCCAGATCTGGCTACAGACACATACAAGTTAACTGAATTAAAATACAAATATTCAGGACGCTCTGATCAGGGTACCCTGTGCCGTCATATCAGTCAATAAATGGCCAATAAAAAATTGTTCTCAAGCTAATTTTGTACCAAAAACATTCATATTTCATGCCTACAGACTCAACATTTTTTTTGGATAAAGAGTATTATTAGGAAGTATTTTCAATTGGAGTATTTTCTCTGCTTTTGACAACAATTTTTGAGTAATAATAATGGTTTATTGTTAACAGGACATCCCAACACAAGTCCCTTTTTATATATTAGTTTCAGAACATCGGTGTGTTCATTTTCACTACATAATCCTCCACAAAGAACTCCCTTAATATTGAGTAGAATAGAGAGTAGGAGTCAGCCATCTTGTTGTTGTTTTTTCAAAAATGGAATGCCTGGGCAAAGTTACCCAGAATGCATCTTCACTGTTGCCATGGCCACATCTCTACATGTGAGTATTGTGCAGAAATTCCAAGTGATGTCATGATGATGCTGTGATGTGCTTTGTGACATCATCGATAGTTCCAAATGGGAACCTGCAAGGAGACCAGTTTGAGTTTTAAGGCACAGCATATCTTGGCTTAGCAGAAACCAGTCTGACGCTGACAACACAAACAGTTAGGTATTACCAGTTGCTACTGTGTGTGTATCATTGTCATCTTAAAAAAACATGTCCTGCAATAAGGAACAAGCGGAATTGGGAGGTGACTACGCTGGAGTTAGGAGGAGTCTTGGGGCAGTTCAAGAACATCTCAAGACCCTACATGTGGAAATACAATCCATACAAAAACAGTTCGGCAGCTTTCCAGCGCTGGGGGAGCAGTTTGACGCTCTGAAGGCAGAGGGACATGTCACGAGGCGCAAGTGTGCCTACCTCGAAAAAGCAGTGAGGGTTCTTAGTGAGAAGATCGAAAATAACGTTACCGTAGAGGCGATGTTCCAGGGACTAATCCAGACAAACAAGGAATTGGAGCTTGAACGACAGATCCTCGAGGAACAGATGTTTGACAAGCTAGATGAGCTGGATAGCATCGATGCTATCAAAGCTGAGCATGAAGCTGCACTACGTGGACAGGGAGAGCTCGAAGCACAGATTAAAGAGGTGCGTTCATCGATCCAAAGCTATTCTGCTGCAGAGGAAACGCTTGATGCATTGAGAAGTGACGCAGAGGAAACCATCAGAGTAAATGGTGGCCTTGAGGAAGAACTTCAGTATCTCAAACAAAGGAAAGAGCAACTTCAGGATCGTTTCCAAGTGTCTAAGGCAGAGATAGAGACGGTTTTCCAGAAGAACCAGGCTCTGCAGCAGGAAGTGGTCGATCTCTGCAGGGAGCTTGAAAATGAAAGCATGGTGCAGTTTGAGATATACGAAATGAACCGGTCGAAATATGAGGAAATGAGCCAAACCGAAGACTTGCAAGAAGAGATCTTTGAGCTTTCAAGGAGGCTTCTGGGTTTAGAGGATCTTCTGGGGTCATACAACATTGCGAAGGAAGAAAAAGAGTTGATTTTCCAGCAAATGCAATTGTTGCAACAAAAGAAAGTCGAGTTGTGCCAAGAACTTGAGAACGAGGACACCATTATGGAAAGTTGCGACGCAATGGTGACAGAAAAAGCCGCCATGAGCCTCGAACATGTCTCCCTGCGAGAAGAAGTGTTGCAGCTCAAGGAAAGGCATCTGCGTTTCATGGAGCTCGAGGACTCTTACAAGGAGGCGAAAGCTGAGAGAGAGGACGTTAAGAGGAAGAACGAGGCTTTGATTAAAAAGATCCAGGGTTTGAGCAATGAGGTTCACAAGGAAAAGCATCTCATGATCAAGTACGAGGCTTTGAAGGCATCCAACGAGACCTTGGGGTGTGATAGGGCCGCCATGGCGAAGGATCTCGTGGATCTTAACCTACAGATTGGTGTTTTGAGGAAGGGTCGTTCTCAGAACAAAACCCTGCAGGAAAAGATAAACGACCTGCAGTCTATGTGTGATGAGCCGCTGAGGGAAAGAAACACCGCGGATCAGAATCCAAACGGCGAACTCGGACAAAGGGTCCAAGAAGATCAAGACCGAATGTACGGCTTGAATGTGAATATCGTCACCGTTGACAATGACTTCCTTGAACACATGAAAACGGTTCAGGAGCCAGGAGATAAAAGCCACTAAATTATCCGTGGCATAACGGGTTTTCTCCGGGGGCACCGGGTTTTTCCCAAAATGTACGATTTAAAAAAAACAAACATTAGTAAGATGTCTTAGCATGACATCAGGGGGCTTAGATATTCTTCCAGCAAGCTACAATTACAACGAGATAAATACCACGGGTTAAAGTTCATTAACTTGTCCGTGGCATAGCGGGATTTCTCCGGGAGCGCCGGGTTTTCCCAAATGTACGATTTAAAAAAAACAAAAATATTATTAACATGGATCTTTTTTTTATTATTACATGTTACTTGTTAGACGCTTTTATCCAAAGCGACTTACATACTCAATACTGTGGCTCCCACAGAAGCAATTTGGGGTGAAGAGTCTCAGGGACACAACGACATGCTGACTGCAGTGGGGTTTGAACCTGTGACCCCCTGACCCCAACACCTAGGCACTAACCCACTACGCCACACACCTCCATCTTAATCTAGAGCTTGGAGTTTTGAAGAAGGGTCGGTCTCATGTGGTGACATTCGATCACTTGGATGGTTTGAAAGCGGAAAATGACCTCCTGCTAAATAATCTGGATGATGTCAACGAAGAGATTTAGGTTCAACGGTGACTTTTAAACATTATTAAGATTGTCTTAGCATGGCATCAAGGGGCTACACATGTTTTTACCAGCAAGCTACAACCTTACATTCATAATGTCAGCGGAGGGAGGGGGGGGCGGTGCTGCGGAACAGCAGAGTGGCGAGGGAGAGCTGTCGTCTTCCCTTTACAAGCTTCAAACATGTATTTATCGTGTGATTTTGGAAATAAAAGTTTCATATTCTGAAAGCCAACACTTTGTTTATTTAAAATCAAACAAAACACCCGAACCCTGAAAAACTTTTTTTTTTACGCAAATCCACGTTTATTTTGAAATGAGACTTTGCGACTTCCGACTGATTTCGATAGAGCAGAGGCCTGTACTACGAAGCCGGTTCAACCTAACCTGGATATGTTTGAGTTAGCCGGTTGGCCTAATCCAAAACATACACGCTCTCGCTAAACTGTACTACGACGCGGGTTATCAAGTGGATCGCTCAAGCCAGCCGTGTCCTATCTAGTTAGGTGCGCGTTCACATGAAAGGGGTGGTATTTGGAGCATTGGACCAATCACAAACATGGAGAAGCGTAGGCTACTGACAGCGCAGCGTCATACTTCCTGAATGAAAAGTCAACTATAATATTAGACATATGAAGAAGTTAAACTTTAAACATCCATGACTTAAACACTTTATCCAGGATCAAAGCCACATAGCTGCACCTGCAAGGTGAATACAGCTGGTAACAGAACAAGTGTTTGAATGCGTACATTAACAGGTTTATGATATCACTGCCCCGTCTAAGACACGATCTGACTTTAATTACATTTGACTCGAGTGTTTCGTCAACTTAATGTGTTGCTTAAAATAATACTTCTGCATACAGTATGTGACACTGTGAGTGTTGCACGGCCAGATACGGCTCAGCTGACTCAGATAAGGAAATATATGATACATTAAGATGTGATATGCTGCGGACTGTACTTAATGTTACTCTGATCCGGTTACTTATGTTGTGGCAGATATTTAAGTAAGCTTTCTTAACGCTAATGTTATAATAGTCAGATTGCTCTGAAGATGGAGGTAATATTCTATTAATGTTCACGTTCACACAGTCGGTGATTTTTGCCGGCCGTCTTTCCTGCAACGGCAGTTTTTCCTTTCTCCTGTAATATGACTTGATCGCTTTAAACTCTGCACACTGAGCTCTGATTGGTCAGCAGGCAGTGCTTTCACTGAGTTGATCTCTTAGCCTGCAACCTAACCTGCTCCCGAGGTTAGCCGCACAGCATAAGTTACCATGGAGATCTAGCCTGCTAAAAAGAGAACCAGCGTCGTAGGACCGGAAAGCCGGAGTTTTCCCTGAAGTTAGCCGGCTAAGCAAAAATCCTGCTTCGTAGTATATCCCCCGGGTCACAAATGATTTTCTGTGAGAAAAACAATATAAAAAGAAATAAGTAATAACATAATAAGTCTATTGTGATATTTGGTATTGGCATATAATACCTTACTGCACATATATGACTAATATTAGCCATGTGAGGTCGGCCCAGACCCTAGGGGTTTTTAAATCTATACTAAAGACTCACTTCTTCTCTCTGGCCTTCTAGTCTGAGCGGAGCACGACTCCTGACATTTCCCTGTGTGTTGTAAGAGAAACTTCTGCAGCAATGGAAAGTCAGGACTCAGAGACACGAGGAGAGTTGGAGCTTTGATGTCAAACACAGATCTTTAATACAAGCATCGGCCGGAGAAATTCACATCACAAGTCACACAGTCAATGGTTCTGACTGCACGGGTGGGTTGCCATGTCAAATCTGATCCGCCTTGCATCTTGGTAGACCTTTTAACTAGTATACAGAGAGTCAACCCACATATTGGGGGACGGTACGTGAACACCTGGGAACAATGGAGATGTCTCTGACATCCGTGGTGCTTAGAAGCCCGCGTTCTCACAGTCGTAAAACCCCCCCTGTGCCCGCCAGGTCAGGCCATAAAACCTGGTAGTATCAACATACGACTCCATTATCACATTCCTTACGGGAGATTAGAAGCAGGGATGGTCGTAAATGTCAACACACAGAATAGGTGTGATTTTTGTATTTGTGCTGTTGTTAAGTGTTTTTATTGTAAAGTGTTTTTATTGTAAAGTATTTTGATTGTATGTACAGCACTTTGACCAAAAATCGTTTTGAAAATGTGCTATATAAATAAAACTTGATTTGATTTAAATAGTTCATTATTCTGTGTCATAATAATGCTTCGTGGTCATTTCAGAGTGTCTACCCGTGTTAAACTGTTACAGCCCACACGCAATGATCCAATACTTTCTACATATTGGTGTTTAATAATGTCAAAATAAATAAAAGGAGGTAAAAGACTGACAGTTATGCACCAGAACATCTCGATTAGTGCCGTCGTCATTTTAAGTTAAGTTGCTACGCCACAATTTTATCTTAGCGAAAGCAAAACGATAATTTTCAAATATATGAAATCATGTTTAAAATCATTAGTCGTGTCAAATCCTCAATTTATTTGGGTGTAATAAGCGGGTTTAAATGCACTTGTTGTAACGAATACTCCACTCACCACAGAGAAGGACTTATCGCAGAGCTGCTGAGCTTCTGCTTGGAGCTCCATCTTAAACATGTAGCCTTTGCTGCCTGGGATCTGGAGGGAGAGACATCAAATGAAGCCACGATGCAAAACATGGAGGTATTTTGTTTAGATGTGAAGGAGGAAGGCGTACCTGAGACACTCTGTAAAGTGTGAGCAGAACAGCGTAGCCTCCAGACCGTCTCTGGGGTACGTACTCCCTCTTCTTCTTCCTCCCCCCTTTGTTTTTCCCTTGATCCCCGGCTGCATTCTTCTACAAGGAAAGTTCAACAAAAGAAGTCACAAATAAGAGGTTTTCAATGACATATAGGGTGAATGACACACACACACACGGAGACACTTGAACACACACACAGAGACACTTGAACACACACACACAGAGACCCTTGAACACACACACACACACACACACACACACACACACACACACACATGGAGACACTTGAACACACACACATGTTGAGATGTTATTATTGGGATTTCTTCCCCATGAAACGGTGTCTTTACACAGTGAGATGAACACACCCACACACACTTCTACACACACTCCATCTACCTTTCTGGGTGGATCCAGGCTGTTGTTGTCCTGTCGGCCAGCAGGGGGCGCTCCTTCAGGGAGAGAGTGGATCGGAGCGTCTGGACCTACAGGAAAAGAGAGCAAACAAAGACAGATTAGAACGTAAACTTCCAGACATTTTGAGACTGATTTGTCTTTAAGATCCAAGAAGAAATCTCATGCTATCATTGAAAGACTTTTAGAGAAAATATTTGTTTTTGTACAAACACAAAAACGCTTTTGTGTTACATTTTATTCCATCTTAGTAAGTATTTGTAGGTATTTGTTTCCTAGCTTTGCCTTTGGGTATTACTCATAGTAGTGCAGAGAAATTATTATGACATTTTTATGTATACAAATGTTATTTATTTTTGTAAAGCTACCCATCTATTCTCTTTTAGCTATCTTATGTTCTCAGTGTTTCCACTACCATTGTCTTTTCCGGTATCATTCGATTGGACTACACAAATTAGTCATTCGAGACAAAAATGTCCACTGCAAAAGACTTTGATAAAAACATTATATTAAAAGGTTTTTTTCACAACTTTTTTGGGTTAAATCTTTAAAGCAACTTCCGCCCTAATAGAAAATACCAAAAATGTAATCATTTTCAGGATTTTAACCCTTTAAATGCCATTTTGAATACATGAAACCACTGTTTTTTTTCATGATGAAAACAGAGGAAATTAGTTATTTTCCAAAAAATACATATCTGGGGACTGGCTCTTTTTTTTTATCACAGTCTTGGATATGTCAAAGATTAGCAACAAAATTGATTTTTTGCATTATTAGTTTTTGCACAAAATCAGATTGAACAAAAAAGTCACACATTAGTCATTCGGGAAAAAAATGTCCACAGTGATACCGGAGGGTTAATATATATTATATATAGCGCCAAATCGCAACTGAAGTCATCTATCTACGGTCACTTTTCCGTGTGCTCTTTTATTACATAAACTAAGCGCTTATGTTATTTATCCAATGTATGTGCATGTTTCAGTGTCCACTAGGGCTGCTCAATTAATCGTATTTTAATCGCAATTACGATTATGGCTTGCAATGATTACGAAAACAACGTAATCGAAATATAAAGATTATTTTTTTATTATTATTAATTTCAGTTGAGTTATACTTAAAGTTCAGGGTAATCAACTGTTAAAAACATACTGTTCAAATAGTTTTTCTCCAATAAATTGATGTTTTCAAAGTAAATGGATAATCGTTTTTAATAATCGTGATATCAATTATTGACTCAAATAATCGAGATTATGATTTTTGCCATAATCGAGCAGCCCTAGTGTCCACTGCATTGCTTTGCGCATTCACATTCTGTCCTCCGCTCTGTTTCTGAAGGGCGGGGCTCTGCCACACACACACACACACACACACACACACACACACACACACACACACACACACACACACACACACACACATTAATCCTTCCTCACAATTGTAGCTATCTTTCCTTCTAATCCTTTGTTTGAAAAGTTGTTTTTTTAACTTGCTGATATTTACGGTGGATTATCATGAAACTCAGTAGATTTATATTTTTGCATTAGCTAACCTCTTCTCAGTTAAATGCCTAATAAAAATAGGAAGCTAATCGCATTATAACTTAACAACTTTGATACTGACAACTCCTTGGAGCAGAAAACATCAACCTTTTTATTCCCACAATCAATTTGAACATAAATTGCCTCTACTCCTCTGTCACTAATGGTATTTTCCCAGCTCTACATGTTAAATTGGATCCAGGTTGAATTACTTGGATTATACAAAAGAACATATTATCCAGAAGATGTGTCTTTACATTAGATGCATGTTGCACTGCAGCTCCAAAATGTAAAAAGTTGCTGAAACATTTTAAACGGCTACTACATTTTGATTGGTACTGACATCAGAATCAGAAGTTCAGGTGACATTTCCTTCATTTCACAATGAGTAAGTGGGATATAGTTAAACTGGTTTCCACGCCCTTTGTCCCTGTCCCAAGGCAAAAATAAGCCCAAAATGAAACAACGAAAAACGGGGCCTACAATTTAAGACTCTGGAAAAACAACCCAGAGGCATATTATCTTTTCTTTTCAGATAGAACTTTACTTTTTAAAGCAGGTTGGCGTTTAAAATCTCCTACAGTTGAAATATGTTCTAAACTGCAGAGACAAGACGCTATCTCCTCTCTGTCAGAAATTGCAATACGACAAACAGATGAAAGTTAAACATTGAGTCGGTTTACTGCCAAGGCCGACACCTTGTGGCCTGTTGAATTTAAAAGAAAGATGTCAATATGTGTCAAATGCCTTAAAATACATTAGGATGCAGTTGTCGTTTTGTACCAGCATAACATTTTAAAGACTTTTATTCTAATAAGGATAATGTACAATACAAATATATACAGTAAAAAGTTATAAGAATCATTATTATTAAGGCAGTTATGCATGATGTCGGCTGTTCAGAATCAGGGAATATCGTTTTTTTATTCTTCAGATTTTGAAAGCAAAAGTAAGTCCTCTGTTGACTATACAGTGCTTTAGATGATATAAACATCCTGTACTGTTGATGTAACACTGCATGTGGGAAAGACATTGTTCAGGTCGGTCATAAATGAAAGAGAATGAGAGACGTAGTCCTCAACAGTGTTGGAAAGTAACAAAGTCAATAAATTAAATATTTCACAATACATCAGTTCTTTTTAGCCATTTCATTTATTTAAAAATGTGAATAGCTAGTTAATCTGCAGCTTTAAATTAATAATACAAAATATAATCAACAAATAGGTTGTATGTTAAAAAAGGCTCTATTGATCCAAGAGAGGAAATTCACATACTCTCCAAAACATAAAGCAACTAAAATCTGCCTCACCTTTACCAGCTGCATCGATATTATGATAAATACATGAATGCATTGACATTTTAAATCTATCAATTTAGTACTTTAACAGGTTTATACCGTTTATACTCATAGTTTGGAGCTTTACATTTGAAAGCAGTACTATAACGTGTAAGTTACTATATATTTAAATAGTGTACTATTCATACTTTTCAAAAAAGCAATAGCATTATCAACTGAAATGCAATTGTCTGTGGCACTGTGCATATGTTTTGAAATGTTGGTGTTCAGTTTCAAGATCGATTCCACCATCCATATTCTTTCTCAGTCTCTTATACAACAACAACGCCTTAGCCTTAAGACATATCTCTTATTGGTTAGAAGAACCAGACTTGTATTGCTTTTCAAACACACATGTAGGCCTGTCATTGACTAAAGGACGTGCCACTGCAAAAAGAGGTCCATCCACTGATGCTTATTGCTTACATATTATGATTTTTTTCCTTGCATATTCTGCAGCCAGTATCTCTTTCGATGGGTGTGTTATGCATTAATCTACAATGAATACTAAGAAACACTCAGGAGAATATTCCACATGTGCAGTCTTGTAGTTACAGTATGATGCAAGTTTTGTATCTAATATATTTTTCCTACAACATTTGTACTTGTTGTGGGTTATCTGTAGCCACTTTTTAATAGCGGGTAGCTGGCTCCTCCACATGAACTTTTTCATTTCTCAAAATAACAAGCATTAATCCTAGGGTTAGGGTTGTTCAGAGAGTCTGAAAAAAAGAAGAAAAAAAAGTGTGTAGGCCTATTTAGATTTTCGAGAGTCTGAAAAAAACTAAAAAAGTGGCGACAAACCCACAAGTAAATTTTATTGTAGCTTTTATTTATTTTATTGATCAATTAATCATTACTATTTTATTGATTTGCATAAGCTTAGAAAGGTCATATAATTGCAGGTCTACTACATCACAAGACAAGGAAATGGGAGTAGCCTCTCAGTACACTTCCTTGTGTTGGCTAAATATTGCGTGGTATTTTTGTCAGGCAGTGTTCAAATTCAGTACAAAATGTACTCTCTGTACTCTCGACTGTACAACATGTGAAAGCAGATAAATGTACCGCCCTGGAGCTCCATGACTTACCTCTCCAGAACAAGGCTGCGACTGCGTTGGCGCGCCGAGAAACTCCCCCAGAAAGCCTCTCCTCCAACACGCCCATAGAGCAATAAAGGATACCTGGAGGATTTGACGTTTCGCTTTTGCTGACACTGCGGGACTTTAAGAGCAAGTTGAGGCTCCTGGACCAGCGACACCAGCAGCTCAGCACCACCAGAGCCAAAAGCAACACACCCTCAACCTGAAGGAGAACCAGCCGGAAGTCAACATGAGCAAGTAAGAGTCTCCAGTTGAAGTTCTTGCACAACTTTCACTCACTTCTTTCTGCATAAGAGAAGGCATGTATTTAGTTTAAAGTGCATGTAGCTTCTTGCTGGGCTTTCACTTGAGAATGTTAGTGAATGCACTCTCAATTAAGTATTTCTAACCACCACCACCACTGCTGCTTCCAGGGGCAGACTGGCCATCTGTAGAATCTGGATAATCACAGACAGGCCGGCCGTTGACGGCCGGCTCCGTTTGCTGATACCGCCCTTAATTTGTTATGTTTTTAAACGGCATCATTGAAGTTGCGCGACAGAGTTCCACCGTTTCCCCGCAGCGAGGCTCTCCCCCCGTTGACAGTTCACTATAGCTCTCCCCCCCCCCCGTTGACAATGCACTAGCACCCCCGTTGACAATTCACGTGGGCAAAGGGTTGCTAAAAAGAGGTTAGCAAAGTAACATGGAACATTTTAAACTGTCCGGAAATAATGTGCATTTGAGGCACTATACCTGCCCATTAACACTGGCTTCTTGCACAAAAGAAAAGCATGCTTCCTGCAAAACACATTTATTGCATCCACTCTGTTTGCATTTTATATTTGGCCGACTTGCAAAGACCTAATGAAACCAAATCAAGCCACTTATGTGGTTTTATTGATGTGCTTTTTATTATGTATTATCTATTATGTATGTATGTGCACTTTTCAATTTAAGGCTTTACCTGAGCAGATAGATGACAGAGGCTTCTTAACGGACTCCTTCTACCACATCACATTTCATCCCATCAGACCTCAGTTTTAAAAAACATTTTTAACTTAAACATTTACTCTAAAATATATCAAAAGAACAGCTGCAGCATTATCCTAGTGTGTGTGCTTTCTCTAGTAGATCTGTCTTATTTATTCCAGAAAGCTTGGCAGAAAAGCACATATTTAACCCTCCCACACATCCATTAAAATGTTTTTAAGTTCCTTCTTCTTGTGATTTATGATGCTCTACCTTAGGGACAAATACTTTGGAGCAGTTCTTGAATGCATCAAAACCAACAGCTATTACATGGATCTGTTTCCATAGATGTTTGTCCTGTAGTGTATTGACCTTCTTTGACACGCATCTCCCATTGTAACATGATCCTGCAAAGAACACGCCTCCCTGTTCTTTTACCCTTCATAAATGCTCCAAAAGAAATGTAATCAAAGACAGATTATGTGTGGCTGTCTTTCTTTCAATGTGAATTATGTTCAAGTGTACCTCATTTATATAAACAGGAATGCTATGGACAATGGCAACTTAATGCCCCCCTTAGGGGAATTCATTCACAAAAAAGACACTGGACGCTGCACTAGGTCAGAACCGAGGAGACTGAAGTCCACCGTATCAACCACTTTTGGACAAAATGTCCTTTCCATTTCTCATTGTGGAACAGCCTCCCAACAGATACGGGATTGTCCCACTCTCAATAGCTTAAAGGTCAACTCAAAGAATGGTTGTGTAACAAACAGATGTGCGATCACCGCTAAATACACTTTAACACATGGGGAATCTTCTCTTGCACTTCTGGCATATCATGAATTTTGTTTTTGCTATGTTTGTAAAATGTAATGTTACGCTTCACACATTTTAATGTTTTAAGTGTTCATTACTGTGCATTGTCCCTGCTAAATAAACGATTACATAAAAAATAAAACTATAGTTCAAATGCTATATCATTCCATTTACTGTAGGCTACTGTAGCACCTATACAAATACTATGCATGGCCTCAGTGTGACCTTGTGACAGGCTGACATTCCCTGGTGACTCTTACTTTGGACTGGAAGGTGTCACGCTTCCATTATGCAACCATTGTACGTTACGTTTTTACCTCTTTGTTGCATAATACATTACATAAGTTTCCACCTTGGCCTCCTCCATGCATGTGGATCTGCTGATGTTTATTCTACTTGTATGCCTGCCATTCAACCCGGTCATGGTTTAAGTGTGTCCTCATAAGGAGAGAGACCAGCTTCTTGGAATAAAACCACATTGAACATTTTACATTTATATAATCTGTTCAATATTTAAAACTAATATTCCATCCGTCATATATTTATGATATATATATATATATATATATATATATATATAATACCTGGTTAAATTCAACATGTATATTTTCTTCTTTCTTGTTTATGTTTAGTCTTTGACATTTTATTGTACAATGCCATGTCTTTTTATGCTGCTGCAACACAAACATTTCCCAAATTGGGATCAATAAAGTACCATCTTATCTTATCTTAAAACATAGGGTAAAGATCAAAAGTATTGTTTGGTAGCTGGTGTTAAGTTAAGATATTTGAATATGAAAGAGACGAGATTTGCTAAAAGTTTGGATAGGAAAAAGTATGTGTTATGTCCTATGGTTATGTCTCAAAATGTAGCTTGATCCACTGCTGATTACAGACTTTGCAATACTTGCACTTGGCTGACATCTGTAATTGATCTGTAATCCTTTAAAGCAGGGGCCGGCAACCCCTGGCACGCGTGCCACCACTGGCACGCGGCACCGTAACCAGTGGCACACTAGGAATAAGTGTGGAAAATATTTAAATTGTATTTTCGGATCCTGAACGAGACCGCTGCCAGAGCGCGTCTCCCCGTTACCTGCAGAAGGAAGCCATGCACGCAACGCAGCCCCGCTCTCTTTAACTCCAGGCAACTTTCTGCCGCTTTCCTCCGTGGTGCAGTGCGGATCGTTTCACCACGGAGGAAAGCACTTCACAAATTGCAGTACCCATAAGGAGCTGTACAAATGCCGCAGTTTTTGCGTGGCTGTGTCTTTAGTTGAAAGCCCAGTGGCAATCTGCTCATCTCTCATCAAAATAATATGCTACAAAGGGGCGGACTGGCCATGTGTGCTCTGGAGAATCACAGAACGGACGATCGTCCTTATTATTATTATGCTGTTATAACCAATTATTTAAATGTATTTGTTAAATTCGGCATCATGTAAGTTAGGGATGCTCCGATCGGTCGGCCGGTGCTCTCTAAAAATGCCGATCGCGAGAGCCGATCGCATGACGTAAAATACATGACACTTTTCTCTGTGCACGGCAAAACAAGCTCTCCAAAATGGCTTCACCGGTCTGGCAGTATTTTAAAGTGTCCGAATATAAGAATAAATAAAATAGCGGTATGCAACGTGTGTGAAGCAGAACTACTGCAGCTCCACCCGCTGTGACGGACCGGTGAGCGGAGCAAAACACACAAGAGTTAGACCTAACACACTTAGCTATGTTATTTGCCTCTGGAACAAGCTAAAGAAGTTATAAATATATGTATTCTTCACTGTCGGGTCATTCATTACTGGATCAGTGAGCTGCATGAGATAGGCCTACTGACAGGCTGTCGGGAGAGAGAGAGGAAAAGAGAGCGCTTCCGCTCATTTCTCCCGTGTTATTATCCAAAGTTGTAAACTTGAATAATGTAGGCTACTTCATTTGAATGTAATAATTATGTTGGTTGTTGTTTTTGGAAGCTCCAGTGAATGAGCCCCATTAACTGAGTTTTAAACATAACTTTAAATCAGGGGTGGGGAACCTTTTTCCTCTCAAGGGCCATTTCAATGTTTTCAACATCCTCCGAGGGCCGTACAAATGATTGACCTCTGCTCAAAAAAACTAAAATGACAGCCCATTCATTTGGCCTTTCTTTCATGCTGTGCAAAGAAAAAGCAACCTTTTAATCCAGATATATTGCCATGACTCACGCATGCATGCACGTGCACGGTTGTGGCATGACCACCCAAACAGAAAGATATGGACACAATATGTGTGCAAATGTATTTAGTTTCCTATCCATGTGAACATGATTTAAGTGGGGGGGAACTAACCTCCTCCAGGGGGGTCCGGGGGCATGCTCCCCCGGGAAGATTTGTTTTTAAATGTTGAAGTTAAAAGCATCAATCTGGTGCACTTTGAGAGCAACATTAGGAGATCTATGGATACATCTCTCAACACCCATATGAAACAGAACTGTAAGCAGATTTTCTTTTTGGGTATTTTACAAATCACTCCCCTTTCAAACTGTATTCTTGTTTATTAATAACAACTTTTTTTTACTGTCATATAGTATTTTATACCTGTTTACTTTATTCTCTTATTTTTTTTATAACTATAATGATCATATAAAGATGTGCCTTTACCTCACTGATTGGAGAAAAAGCTTCTTATATTCGTTAGCATAGCTAGCTAACCAAATGCTAATAACAACAAAGTTGTTGTCTGTATGATCAGTATGACAGATCGCCACTGGGTTTACAACTAAAACACAGCCACGCAAAAACTACAGCATGTGTACGGCTCCTTATGGGTACTGACATTTTTGGAAGTGCCGGAGCGGAGCTGCGTTCTGGTGCTCTCCGTCAGAACTACACCCCTGTCAGACGAGACATATACCACGTGATGACACGTTAGGCTTGTGTTGTGTTCAAGGACCCTGACCTTGGCCAGGAAAAACAGGCACTCACTTGTTTAATTATTTTGCGGTCTAGATTTCTTTAATTTTTTTCTTTTTTGTGTGTTTATAAATTACCTCGAGGGCCACACCAAATGGTCTCGCGGGCCGCATACGGCCCGGGGGCCGGAGGTTCCCCACCCCTGCTTTAAATGATCCCCATAGGCCCCGCCCACTCGATCCAATCGGAGCATCCCTATAATGTTAAGTTGCGCTGACAGGTCCACACACTGCTTCCCCGCAGCGAGGCTCCCCCCGCCCTCCTGTTGACAGTTCACGAGCGTCGAGCTCTTCGCCCCCCCCCTTTGATAATTCATGATCGTCGGCACGCTGATAAAATAATTTTTTTTGAATTGCACTTCATATCAAAAAGGTTGCCGACCCCTGCTTTAAAGGTTTCAATTTCTTCATGCATAGTTGTTTCATATTTAGCAAACACCAGACACACTGCAACAGTTGTTTTGGTCTTCTCTTCTAAGGCAGCATTTTCCATGCTTTGAGGGCAGCAACATGCTAGAAATCAGTGTGTTGTTTTGATGATTTAAAATGAAATAGACATACAATTGTGATATGTTTTTGCAGTTAGTGGTGGGATGGATTGTGTTGGGGGGCTATGAAGTGTGGGTCTACTACACACACATAAACAAAAACCACATGTTTGTGTCACAACTTGATTTAAGCTGTTTTATCAATGCATTAAGACTGTTGAGCAATTCACAAATTGTCCTAACATGAACTCTAGATTGAAGAAACAGAAAGTGGATCTCGTGCTGCAGTTTTGGCAATGGTTTAAGTTGGAAATGGGATTAATCATGTTAACCCTAACACAACTGTTTCTGGGGAGCAAAAGAGTTGACTTGCATCAGTTATTTTCTTTACCAGCCCTTTTGAAAAACAGTTATGTGGAGAGGAAGTGAGACTCCTCCACATCTTGCATCTGGATACAGTCTATTATCTGGACCCACGGTGCATTCCTTAACTTTCCACTCTCTAACCACCAAATACCCCAAAGTACAATGAAGGAAACAAGGGAGGAGTAGAGAATGAGAAGGACAATAGAGAAGGAAGACAGGAAGTAGAACGTAATGTGTTAAGTATACAGTCTAGAAAACATTAACGATGAGTTCTCACAATGTTAATGAAAATATTATTAATCTGGTTCTGATTAGTCATGCAAACATGTTGCATCATAGTGAGTCACAACACTTATCACTTATTCTGTGGAATCGTTGCCGTTTCCTGCAAGTCACATGACATAAACTGTGACAACAACAGAGGCAGTGTCTCCAGTGTTTATAGTGTAACACTCTGTGGGGAGAGACGGCAGTTTTTCCAAAACATCATGTGGTACAAAATGTCCTGCCTGTTCGCAAAGTCAACAGCAAGATTGCAAACAGTGGTTCTAGGATCAGATTTGTTCATCTGTACTCGATTTGCAGACACAATTGAATGATATACTGGCAGAGCTTTACTGACCTACACGTTGATTTACATTCTATATTGTCACAGGTTGTGTCATCACTATTGCAGATGTGGACTTGAAACTTTGAATTGGCCTACAGTGGCATATTCTGTCAAAATGTGGGTTAAAGGGTTCATCCCTGCAGGACTTTCAGCGTTGCAAAAGGTTTGGATTTCAGTTTGATTTTCAGGCCAAAAGTCAGACTGTGCTGTTCTTTCTCTGTTCATCTGGTTTCAGTCAAGGTTCTTTATTGTCAAACTAGACTGATGTTTGTCAGAGAACAAACAGCAGCCTACTGGCTCTATGTGCAGTCCAATTAGATTTCCCATTCACTATCAGATGAAAAAGTGAGCAGACAGCCTATTGTCATACTTATTAACCAACTTAAACACAATTTGCACTGCAGTCGTACATTGAAACGCAAATAACATGTATTTACAATCCTAAAACTCAAATGTTCTAGTTGAAAGCAACAATTGTTAAAAATATTTTCAAAGCACTATTGTCAAAATCCAACATTTATAATATTTGTTGTTTTACCATGCACACTGAAGACATCACCGAGTGATAGTTTGAAATTAGCAAACAAGGAACTAATCATCTGATATTGAAATGTTCACCTTTTGCAGATGTCTGATCAGCAAGGTGGAGGTGCAAGGCTTCATCGAGCGGTGTATGACAGGTGTGGGCACCAAGCAGCATCATGCCCGCAGCCTGGCCGAGGTGCTGGTGGAGGGGGACCACAGGGGCCACTACAGCCACGGACTCAACCGGATGGGTCAGTGGGGCGCCGGAAATCTATTGCTCTATCTGCATGTTTGCTTGTTTTGAAGGTGGCAGCAACATTTTAGTTGTAATGGGAAAAAAAGGTGGTAAATTGCAGTTTTCTAAATTGAAATCACTGTAGTAATTTGTCTTTTAAATACCCAATATTATTGCATTATGTAGTTCCGTCTAATCCAAAAACCGATATATCCACAAGTAGCAATAAGCTTGACTCCAATAAAAATACGTCTCAGGAAAGTTTGGTTGACTCTTTACTTAAATACATATAGGTATCAATACAAACACATATTTTCAAAGGTCAAAAAACTATATTGCTCCGTGATTCTTTTCTCCTTCTCACTTCTAATTACCAGCAGCTGCAGTCGGCTATGACGTACATTTTACGACGGATGGTTTAAATAAATGATATAATAATACTTCAATCAGGAGAGACGTTGATGTATGAAATACATATTTATTACTGGGACACGTCATATGAATGAAATAATGATTGCCAGAATTGAGACAGGAGAATGCAATGGTCTTTGGCGATTAGGCCCTGGTTTGCAGGATTGTCATTCAGGAGGGGAAGAACCGCTCCGAAGAAACCCCCAAAGAAGTGAAGTATGACATACTGAGCTGTAATGAGTTTCTTACCTTGTGGGCTGACTGCGGTGATCTGTGGATGAAATGAGAGATTAACATGTGGATTAAACAATCGGCCGGAATCGCTGCCGGGCTTACTGTACATCATAAGATGCTTGACCCGAGAGTCGACGGCCAGAATCAGTGCCGGGCTTACGTACTACCACTAAACAACGGCCGGAATCGCTGCCGGGCTTACTGTGCATCATAAGATGCTTGACCCGAGAGTCGACGGCCAGAATCAGTGCCGGGCTTACGTACTACCACTAAACAACGGCCGGAATCGCTGCCGGGCTTACTGTGCATCATAAGATGCTTGACCCGAGAGTCGACGGCCGGAATCAGTGCCGGGCTTACGTACTACCACTAAACAACGGCCGGAATCGCTGCCGGGCTTACTGTACATCATAAGATGCTTGACCCGAGAGTCGACGGCCAGAATCAGTGCCGGGCTTACGTACTAGCACTAAACAACGGCCGGAATCGCTGCCGGGCTTACTGTACATCATAAGATGCTGACCCGGAGGTCGACGGCCGGAATCAGTGCCGGGCTTACGTGAACACTACCACTAAACATTGCCGACACGATGGTCGATGACCTGCGATGCAGGGTTAAACATTAACGCAATGAATACTACCACTAAAATGCATAAATACCAGGTTAGATAGATCTTCGGATGGCCGCACGGCGCTGATGTCCGGGCGAATGTAGGATGTGAAGGCAGAGGAGGACCACCGTCCAAGTTGTTGTAGGGATGAGGAAGAAATACCTTGATTGGCGGCAGTGTTGCTGCACCTATCCTGAACGAAGCCCTGAAATGCTATTAAGACACCACCACCAGTTATATGCATGTTTACCATAGTAAACTGGAGAGATCTTGGATTGCCGGCGCGAGCCGGTGTCCGGGCGAAGAGGGAGATGTAGACAATGTAATGCAGCTGTTAGCTTGAGTACAGTGATGCATGAATATCATAACCTGGCTTATCGTAAGCCATGTGAGCATGAAACCAAAATATAAATGAAATGCAATATGCGCAGCATAAGATGATGTATGCTTAGGTAAATGCTGAAACATGACCCATGATATAGGACTATAGCTTAATAAGCAGTTTATTTACACCACGTGCGACATAGATGCTGATGTGCTTGATTGGGTGATTAGACTGTCTTCTATCATCTTACATGAACTTCTCTTTCTCCCTGAAAGAAACCCAAAACCGACGGATGGGGCAGCATCCGTGACTGATGGGGCAGCATCCGTGACTGTGTTGAAGCTGCGTTTCTTACTGAGCATTGTAACTGGTAGTAGTTACCCGAACTGCATTAGTAATGCGTTACGTTACTTCGTACGGCAAAGTAATACGTGTACTGAAACTACATACTGTAACACCCGACACTGCCTGGAACTCACCTTAACCCTGAACTAAAGCAGTAATGCATAACGAACATCTCGTGAATTTGTTGCAAACTGCCTCTTGCCAGCGCTACCCTGACGCCTGTTTTAGGGGTGAGGCGCAGGGAAAAGAGGCGAGTGCCTGGGCTGTGCAATGAACCTGCTAGTCGCCTATGACGCACTTAGTGTCCAGTAGGGCAGGCTACTGCAGTACTGGACACTAAGCGCTCAGTAGCCATGGCTATTGAGCCGGGAGGAGAAGTAGCTTCAATGGGGTGTAGTTTAAGCCCTGCCTGCCTGCCTGCAAGGGGGGTTGTGGTTGAAGCCAGAAATGGGTAAAGCTTCGCATGCGATGAGGGCCCGTTCCACGTGAAGGCCGGAAGCGCCGCATTTGAGCGGCCCTGATGCCATGATGCCCTCTCGAGAAACTGAAGGCGTGCGTCAATTGTTTGCGTGAAGTAGCCCATTTCCATTAGCCGGAGGAACTTCCGTGGAGCCCGATATTCTTGTCCTTTCCTCCCGCATCCGGGTTTGCGGGGTGGCCGGCTGGAACCGCTAGCCGACTGGGGAACGCCGCCTGTAGCTTAATCCTCGAGACTGCGGAGCTGATGAATGTAGGCTATGGAGCTGGGACGGAGCCCTGCTGCTGTTGCTATTGTCACCTGAAATGACAGCTGACAACAGGGAAGAGCAGATATAAAGGGATTAGCGGGTGCAACGATAGGCTTGTGAGAATGGAGAGAGGAGTGATTGGTTAGCAGGGGAGTGACGCCCCCGATCACTTAATGAGGCAGGAGAGGGTAAAGAAGTGACGTGTAATATGAATGAAGAGCTTGGTCTTCCTGCTTGAACTTGCACTAAGCTTAATTAATAACAAAGGTTTACACAGTTCAAATATATCTATATACACACATAATATATAAAATTATACATTTTAACATATGGCTCCTACACATTAGTTAAATGTTGTGCACGTACAGTATTACGTATACCAGGAATCAGGGCCGGACTGGGACAATAAATCAGGCCGGGAATTATACACCCAGCCAGGCCACTACCAGTTTTTTGTGCCAGTTTGCTGGATTTATTTGTCAACTTTTATAGCGTTGCGGCCCATAGTGATAGCCCTCTAAATCTACTACCCAAAAAGAAACATATGGACATGGGTTACTATTTTAAAAAATGCACAAATCTATTTAGGGGGTTACGTTTTTAAGTGGGGGTGGACCTCAAATCCTATAGGGGGGTCTGGGGGCATGCTCCCCCGGTAAGTTTTTTTTTTAAATGTTGGACTTAAATGCATCAATCTGGTGCATTTTGAGAGGGAAATAAAGAGACTACACCCATATGAAACATAACTGTATATATTTAAAAAAATCATAAAAACATGGCCATAACCAATAACATAGCTACCATATCCAATATGAAAAAACATTGAAACTTGTTTATCTATTTGTTTTTGGTTCATTTATAGTTGTGAGTGTGTCTGTGCTCCTGAACCAGCCTCTCCTGTCTCCCCCCTGCTCCTCTTTGAGGCAGCAGCAAAGACTAGTTTTAGCTCTCAACAAGTTTTAATAGTTTATCTTACCTTTTTTCACCTAGTTAACGTTTTTTTTTAATATTATTCATGCATATTTTACTAATCACTCCCCCCCCCCCCCAATATGTGTTTACATAAATGGTGACCAAACCGTTTGAGACCCACTGAGATAACTTGGAATAAGTTAACTATCTAAACAGTCCTTTACCTCACCTGAGCTGTAGTTATCAGTCTCTCAGTCTGACAGGAGAGGACTCTCCTCCACCTTGTTGTTGAAAAAGCTCCTTATATCCGTTAGCGCAGCTAGCTAGCACCAGATGCTAACAACAACAATACACGTAACCGGTGCGCACGCTTTATCTCACTCGCTCGCGCCACACATACACACACCCTCCCGAAGCTTGAATGACACACAGAGACCAATCGAGGGCTTTAGTGTATGATCTGTATGAAAGTGGCCATGTCGGCAGGCCACATCATGTAGACAGCCAGTCACCCTCTGTGAGGCAGAGTCAGACCCACATTTGCGCAGCGTTGCGTTCACAATACATACATGCAACAAAAAAAAACCTCAGGCCAGCAGGCCACTTAGCAGGCCAGGCCATCGGGAAACCTCCCGGTCCTCCCGATGGCCAGTCCGGGCCTGCCAGGAATTAATAAAAGAAAACTGATGAGGTACTGTATCATTTTAGGTCTACTTGTGTGAGTGCCTGTATTGACATTTGTTATGCTCACTGTCTCTATATGTTTCAACAGACATGTACGTTAAGGACATCCAGACCGGAATCTGTGCCAAGGACGGTGAGCCGGTGGTGGAGAAGGAGAGCGCCGCCACAGCTCTGGTGGATGGGAAGAACCTGCTGGGTCCTGTGGTGGGAAACTTCTGCATGAATCTGGCCATTAAGAAGGCCAAAGAAGCTGGCATCGGCTGGGTGGTGGCACACGGTGAGTTGTTGCTGTAACTGTAGGCTTATTCTTTAAAAACGTAACTGCTATGTCTGCTGGACTTGTCAGGTTCTGTAGAAACTTGCATTTATAATTATGAAACTGGATAGAGCCAACGTTTGTCCACTGGAAAAACCTGTTCAGATGTTACTTGTAAAATGATGAATGCAACAACATGCTCAGGTTTCAAATGTAGGTCTGTATTTGATTCAACACCCGGCATGAGTAAAGGATCGTCTTCACTGTTAAAAGGTTTGTAGTTTAGACATGTTTGCAGGGCCGCCGTAAGGGGGTGAAAAGTTAGGACGATTCTAAGGGCCCGTGACTGATAGGGGCCCAAACTATTTTAGAACATAAAGAAAAAAAAATGTAAGTAACCAATGTGATATCTTTCCATGGGGTCCAAAATCCCTGGCGGCGCCCCTGCATGTTTGGCTCATATAACATGCAAATTAAGTGCAAGAAAATTAGAAACCTGAACCACTGTAGTGTCTGACTGCCAAGTTTGTTACAGAAGAATTGTACTAGACTAAAATGGTCGACAAATCTCTCTAAATAACAACAATGAATATGTATTTTCTACATGGTATTTTTCTGTTTTAGGTTCCAACCATTATGGTATTGCTGGATATTACTCAATGCAAGCTCTGAAGGAAAACATGATTGTGAGTGAAAGGATTATCTGCCATTCATGAATTGAATTTACATTGAATATCCTTTATTATGAAGGTGATTTTCTTAACGGTTTTTAATTGCATGTCTTACCTGGCCAATGCAGGGCATGTCCTTCACCAACACGTCTCCACTGGTGGTTCCCACACGTGGTAAAGATGTACGTTTTTTGTACTGAATAAACTGTACTTCATGTCATATTTTATCTTGATATGACTTGTGCCCTTTGCAACCAGTGCTTTTAAAGGCTGAGCTGATCCATTTTCTAGTACAATACATTTCATTGTACCTTTTACCCTGTGTTAACCTCCATAAGACTGATCAAGTATTACTGCGCTGATAAACATCTGCTCTCTCTGATCCTAATACTGTGAACCTGATGTTTGTAGTGCACTTTGGGCACAAACCCCATCAGCGTGGCCGCTCCGGCTAAAGATGGAGACAGCTTTGTTCTGGACATGGCCACATCAGCAGTAGCTCTTGGAAAGGTAAGATCAGGTTTATACAGAGAATATAACAGGGTTCGTACGGTCATTGAAAACCTGGAAAAGTCATGGAAATTCAAAATGGAAATTCCAGGCCCTGGAAAAGTTAAGGAAAACAATATTTTTCCCAAAGTTTTGGAAAAGTCATGGAAATGTAACTAAAGTTGCGTCAAATATAATTTACATTTGATCTAATCGCCGAAATAATCTGCGGTCGCGAGCTGTTATGTGCCATCATGACGCGCATGGTGTTATTTTTTAATATATGAAGCGCGAGCTGTGTGCTCGAGTCTTCCTGCCTGTCGGCTGAACTCTGCTGCTCCGGGATGAGGGTCAGCTACATTAGCTACGGTGCGTTCGTTAACTGTGCGGAGTTACTGTGGCACAGACTGCACCGCTGGTGAACAGCTGTTAGAACGGGCCGTTCAGGTGTTCAGGGCAGAGCGGCAGAGCGGCAGAGCGGCAGAGCGGCAGAGCGGCAGAGCGGCAGAGCGGCAGAGCGGCAGAGCGGCAGAGCGGCAGAGCGTGATGTGAATATCGTTTAAGGAATCGTTGAGCTAGCTAGCTCAAAATAATTTGTGTGTAAATATGTGATTTGTAAATGTAAAACACCATCCACAAATGCATTTAAAAGATTTGCTAACTCACAAGTAGCCTACATTTGCAAGTGTAAAACGTCTGTAAAAATCTGCAAATACGCAAAATATGTTCACAAATTAAAAAAAGATCTGTAAATATCTCTTTAACATTTACAACTTTCGATCTGGCATTTGTGAATCCATTTTGTATTTGTCGACCAAAAATGCGCTTGCGGATCTCAAATATCTGCTCGTGGATCTCACATTTCTGCTTGTGGATCGTCTTTTTACACACACGGAATTTTGAGACATATTTTCCGCCGGTCTCGGCTAAAATCTACTCGTGTCACTCGGTTATTTTCGGAAACCACGTGATGGCCCGCTGATGATGACATTTCCGCATGATTTCAAAGTAAGAGCATATGATGGTTTGTTTAATGCTCAGTTTTTTATTATAATGAGCAGCGGAACGTTAGATCATAGATGCATTCTTAAAAGTCATGCATTCAAAATGTTACTCTAGTAAAAGTACAAAAGTATTATCATCAACATATAGTTAAAGTAGCGACAGTAAAAGTAGTCATTGTGCAGATTGGTCCATTTCAGAATAATATATATGATATATTTTATAATGATTGATCATGAAAGTGTTCTCAAAGCTGGTAAAGGTGCAGCTAGTTTGAATGACTTTGTATACTGCAGGGTAGCTTGTGGATTTACTCCAGGTGGAATTAAAGTCTGATTTAACACTTGATTATATTTCACATCATTCATCCACATCTGTGTGAAGTAACTAAAGGGATTAAATACATGTAAAGGAGGAAAAGTACACCATGTACCTCTGAACTGTAGTGGAGGAGAAGTACACCATGTACCTCTGAACTGTAGTGGAGGAGAAGTACACCATGTACCTCTGAACTGTAGTGGACGAGAAGTACACCATGTACCTCTGAACTGTAGAGGAGTAGAAGTACACCATGTACCTCTGAACTGTAGAGGAGTAGAAGTACACCATGTACCTCTGAACTGTAGTGGAGGAAAAGTACACCATGTTCCTCTGAACTGTAGAGGAGTAGAAGTACACCATGTACCTCTGAACTGTAGAGGAGTAGAAGTACACCATGTACCTCTGAACTGTAGAGGAGTAGAAGTACACCATGTACCTCTGAACTGTAGAGGAGTAAAAGTACACCATGTTCCTCTGAACTGTAGAGGAGTAGAAGTACACCATGTACCTCTGAACTGTAGAGGAGTAGAAGTACACCATGTTCCTCTGAACTGTAGAGGAGTAGAAGTAAGTAGCAAAACATTGAAATACTTAAATAAAGTACAAGTATCTCAAAATTGTACCCAAGTATAGTACTTGTTGAGTTTATGAACTTAGTTACTTTACACCAGTGGCTATAAAGATAGAAAGACTAAGCCTTGCACAGAGGCATGAAAATACATTTTCAAAATGCTCAACAGTGCTGCCAGAATTATAAACTGACTGCTACACAATTAAAATAAATGCTTTTATATGTTTCTACTAGATGTGACTTTTTGTTTCTGTTATTATTAACACTGCTGCTTTAGTTGTTCTGACTGCTAAAATCATCTGTTATTCCTCATTTTAAAGCCGATATTCCGTGGGGCTCGGATCCTTGTCACCTTTTTCATACCTGATGAGTTTGCCTCCCTGACTAGTTGCTTTAGCGTGGAGAAGCTAGTAAGCCTACTATTTGATTTGTTTTATAGGCACAACATGTTTCATATGCAGACCTTATTTTCCTTATTTTTTTGGTCATGGAAAATGAGGTAAAGGTCATTGAGAAGTCATGGAAAAGTCATTGGAAATCATTGGTGAAAAAGTGTATGAACCCTGATATAATAGAATAGAATACTTTCAAGCTTCACGTGGGGTCGCAAGGCCTTCTTGAGGTAATGGGATGTTGTTGTTTTTTTACAGTTAGCTTATATCTCAGGTTTTCAATCATGTATGTAAAGCAAACTAAATTAAACTGTTTAAAGTCTGGATTATTATACAGTGCTTAAGTTACATGTTATTGTTTAACGTCATCACACAATAAGAGCACGGCAAAGACCTGAACACATGCTGCCTCATTCAGAAAGCCTTCTCTCTGCTAAAAACAGCCAGGGTTAAAGAAAAACCACCAATAGCTAACAGAACAATGGCAGTGACAGGTAGAAGAAAACACTGTGTCCGTTAAAATCAGGTAGTCTGAATGTTTGAAAAGAAATGACAGATTGTGATTTCATTGTAAAAGTCCTAAACATAACATCAGCATCGACAATCTACTCAAAACGCATCCAAAATTAAGTTTTACACAAACTAACTGTAGATATTGCATTCACTATTTTAGTTAATTGTACATTATACGAGTTCCTCTGCACTGTTATTTTAGTGCAATGAATATAATCCATATCCATAAATGATGTATCTTTATCAGGGGTCGTCAGTTTACTACATGTTTTAAAATGTAATTTAAAAAAAGGGTTATTTTAAGGAAAAAGATTATATACTTTGTCAAGGTCCTGTGACATTACCTGGACCAATGGAGCCATATACTAATGCCACATGTGTGAGATATTTACTGTAAATAGATATCTAAAATGAAAATAGATTTTGTAAAAGAGGCAAAAGAGAGCTCTGAATTCAATGTTGGTTGAAATTCTATCATATCATTTGCGCTTGATAAGTGTACTTTCTAACTGTGGTCTTAAAATGCCACATACTTAAAGTCTTCTTTAATGTTCTTGGTGCTCAGGTGGAGCTCCATGAGCGGCGGGGGGACACCATCCCTGAGGGCTGGGGCTGCGACGCCCAGGGGAAACTGACCACCGACCCTAAGAGGGTCCTGAGCGGAGGAGGGCTGGTGCCCGTCGGAGGCAGCGAGGCCACAGGTCAGACACAAGAAAGTCTGCTGAAACATCTTTTGTTTTTCATTTTGTTCTGTCTACGGTTAGATATGGTGAAATAATCCTCCTGTCATCCATCCTCCTTCCTTATTTCCACACATAGTTTATGTCACAATCAGCAAGAATTGTACAGTTTCTAATAAAGTTGTACTCTGATAGAGTCAGTTATGTGCAGATAACAAATTCAACTTGATGTTTCACTTTTTTCTGACAGAAATCTGTGCTTTGAAAAAACACACAATTTGAAAATCCCAGGCTCAATTACTTTTTTTAATATGACTTTTTATTAGGGTCCCTTGTAGAATCAGCATTATTTGTTGGGTCCACACATATACAGTCAAACACACATTTATATACTATAGCTACATAAACACAAACAACATTAACAAACAACTCATCTCATTTGAGAACCAATCTAATACAGATGTGAAACAAAAATCAATACTGTTTTCAACCATCATTAAGTCAAACACAAAATTAACATTCAAATGAACACTTAACAATTCTTCAATCATTTACAACACACTCCTAAGAAAGTGCTACCTTAAATTGTGTATTTATCTATCCTGTAATTTCAGTTTTCTCGGGAAATGTTTCCTCTGTTATCTTATCAGTTCAAATATCTAGGAATAACAGAATCAGGAAAGACGTTGTTCATACACCCTTTTATATGATAAAGTATTTGTTGTGTTTGTTTTGTTATTTAAAGGACAGTGCACATTGATCAACATTGCTGTAAACGTGCCCGTGTTAGCCAGCAGGCTAATTTTCAACTGTTTGCTGCTGGCAAGATGTTAAAATAACCACAACAAGACTAGAGAAATAAAATACCAAAAAATACACACAGCAACAGACAACAATAAATAGGAACAGACAAACAGATGAAATACTAATATGATACAGTTAAAACTGTTCACATTTTTGATTGCTTAAAAGCCAGTTCTTAAGATAGTGGTTAAATATATAGGAGGTGTTATTCCTTATCTGTATTGGTATTGTGTTCCAGAGTGTTGATGCATTCAACCTCTCTATGTAAGATAACAAATAAAGAGTGTGTATCTGTGTTGTTTCATCAGGAGGGTACAAAGGCTATGGACTGGGGATGATGGTGGAAGTGTTCTGTGGCATTTTGGCCGGTGCTCAGTACAGCAATCATGTCCGGACGTGGAAAGTAACCGACCGTGTTGCCAACCTGGTACGTTAGTTAGTAATATCTTCTGACTTGTGTTGTGTTTTAAAGAACATGAAAATTATCAAGCTATCATAACTGATTCTTGTCCAAAATGGAATTATTTTCCACTTCAGACATAAAATGTATTTGAACTTACTTGCACACAGTCTTCAAATGTTGTGTATTTATCAATTTGTATGAGGGTTAGGGTTATATTGTTCATATATTGTGTTCCTCTAGTCAAAGTTGCTAAACTACCAGAAGTATGAATATGTTCAAGAGAGAAAGCTTTACAATACAGTGATGTTTAGCTGAAGCTTTTCAGAAACAAAGAAGGTACAATTATCTTTTTAGAGCAAAGAAACATGACGGTGTATTTATTTAAAAGTGTTGTGTTTTGTAACACCATTTTGAAAGCCATTACCTTTAAGATAATAATAATAATACACTTTATTTGTATAGCACCTTTCATGCACAAAGCAGCCCAAAGTGCTTTACAGAAAACACAACAACAATATCAAAAATAATATTAAAATAAAGCCGGAACAAGATAAAACCTCTACAGTGATCCTAATGAGATTCCCTTGAATGAAAGCTGACAAGAAATTAAAACCGGTTAAAAGAAAACAATTTAAAAATGAAGGCAAAATACAGTAAAACATGGACAATGATACTCGGGAGAATTGAAAGTTAACCCAAATTAAAAAGATAGACACATTGAGACGTAAGGCGTATCACATCTCCTCGCTTCTTTCTGTGTTTCTGTGAGTGTTTGTATTGGCTCAGTACGCTGTGTTCTCATCACCTTTTTGTTATTCTTTAGGGTCAGTGTTTCGTTGCAATCAACCCAGAGAACTTTGCTCCCGGGTTTACCGACAGGATGTCAGACCTCCTGTCCATCCAGAGGGGGATGGAGCCTGTGAGTAGATCCTGCTGTGGTGCTGATACACACTGTACAAAGGGAGGAAACACATGTAGATGATGTCCAATGATTGCAAGCATGCTCAGTCTGATAAATAAAAACATTAAAAAGCGCTTCATGTTGCTTTGAGCTTCATGTTGCTGCTGCCGTTTGTTTCAGGCTGACCCGAGCTGTCCAGTTTTGGCTGCTGGAGATCCAGAGAGGATGAACATGAAGAAGTGTGAGGAGATGGGCGGGATCCCCTACCACATCAATGTCGTCAACTACATGGTAAGAGATGTTGAATACAGAATTCATCTGAAACATATAATAAACATTCACTCCAGCTCTTGGAACATATGGATTGAAAATGTTAGTTTTTTTGGTCCAAATGAAGAGGGTTTCAAGGATTCAAAGCTTTATTGTCATGTGTACATTAGCTACAGTGTCGATATGGCAATGAAAAACTTAAGTCACAGGCTCCTCCAACAGTGCAACATGAATATATATATATATAGGAAATACAACAAATAAAAGGTTTAATTATGTAATATTGTCTTTTACTCAAACCATTCGTTACTTAGAAAAGCAGGAACAGATGTGATCCATTAAGACTTCCTCTTATATATTCTTACAGCTATAATTTGTATGATGTAGATAAAGTGAACAACCAGCATCTGGAAACCTAGTTTAAAGACTTACAAGTGAAGGGAAACAGCTAGCCTGGATCAACACAAAGTTACTCTACTTAGTGACCTACATGTTATATCTAATTTGTTGCTAGTTTTAATTTTTTTTAAAAGAAAGACAATTTTTTTCTGGAAAGATTTTGGGACAAATTGCTCTAATCATTTCCTGATCTGGCAACCTCTCCTTGACAAGAAGTAACGTTGCCTTGCCTTTCCAATACGTTTTCTGACACGTAACCCCAGGGTAAAAACACAAGTTAAAATGTTTCAACTTCAGGTTTTTTACTGACAGGATATAAACAGGCCAACTTTTTTCCCTTCTTCCAGTTGTTATACAAAATAAAAGTGGCTGCTAACTGAAACAATACAGAATTGCGATTGAATCAATTTACTTGTTTGCAAAATGTCCATTTACATCTTCTAATAATAATAATAATATATAATATTTTTATAGCGCCTTTCAGGAAACCCAAGGTCGCTTTACAAGTCGGGTAGGGGGGGGGGGAGTAGGGGAAAAAAGGCAGACAGGTTAAGGGGGTGGGGGGGGGGAAGTAGCGGAAAAATAAACCTATTAAACTAACTATACAGTGGCGAAAGCCTTGGTAAAAAGGTGCGTTTTGAGGGCTTTTTTGAAAATGTCCAGGGTTGGGGCGCTGCAGATTTCGGGGGGTGAGAGTTCCAGAGGGTGGGGGATGCCACACTGAAGGCTCTGTCACCAAAAGTCCGCAACCTGGTGCGGGGGGTGGAGAGGAGATCCTGTCCAGATGATCTTAGCTTCCGGGATGGAGTGTGGTAGCGGAGAAGGTCAGACAGGTATTGGGGGGCGAGGGCATGGAGGGATTTGTAAGTCAGAAGAAGGAGTTTATAGGTGATACGGTGCTTGACTGGGAGCCAGTGGAGGTGGATCAGGGTGGGGGTGATGTGCTGCCAGGGCTTGGTGTGAGTGAGCACCCTGGCAGCCGAGTTCTGCACATACTGGAGCCATACTAAGAGCTTTCAGATTTAACTAACTGGACTTCTTGATGCCTTTTTTTATTTTTTCAGAACGAATGTGCCAAGAGAGTTGGTGTCAGCCCGCTGCTGCCATGTGACAATCTCATCTCCAACTAGTGGATCCAGTCACGAGTCCCAGCGCGGGAAACCTTCAGCTTCTGCTCAACTTAAAGTTCACATTGAGGTACATGGGAACAAACCTTTGTACATGCAAATTGTTCACGTGTTGACAATCATATCTTATCCGTATAACAGCACTTTCCAGGTATTTTAATCTCTTCTTTAACATGTAACACAAAACATTTCCCATTTCCATGACATTTGTGACATAAGACCAAAAATATCAACGTCTCTTTCTTCTGAAGGAACCTTTTGAAATCGCTTTACTATGTTTCTTGTGTCTCAAAATACTGCATCTAAATTCTACATTTTAGTTTAAGCATGTTGCCAAGATTATGTATTTTTGGGCAATTATTCGTCCAAAGCTGTTGGCTGGATGTGAACGAGTTAAAGTCGTAGCGGTGCTGTTGAAAGATGAGCTTGCTGGTTTGTTGTCACAATAGTTCAGGTCGTTCCCTTTTGGTGAGCTGTTTTACTTTGTTGCAGTTAAAATGCAGTACACTTTTTTTTTTAAACGATATAGTTATCAAGCTAAACGTTCTTTTTATACTGAGAAGAATTTAAAAATGACCATGCGAATGTTTGGCTTCTTTTACAGTTAAAATTGTTTTACTCCAATGTCATAAAACAAATGCCTTACTTATGTGCCTTATTCAATAAAAGCCATACAAACCCCAAACCATTTTGTTTTTTTAATGCCTCATGTGTTCTGGATTATATTTATATTTTATAACACATTAATATTTTGCTCTTATTTAATGATTTTGCTTTTAATTAATACAGTATGTCAATCTACAAAATAAGCACGTTCAACCACCAGATGGCGGTGTAAACTTCGACATATTTGATGTAACTCCTGCTGTGACAGTGATGGTCTCAAGTATAGTTAATGGAATACTTCACTGTTAATAAGAGTTTATGAGTGGAAAACTATATTATATTATATAGTATATTAAATATATAGTATATTATGAGTTTCTTCAGTTGCTTTACTTTGTGCACTTCAACACTCACACACACATACATGTCCATACAATCATCACCCTGCATTTACATTACTGATACCACTGACATCCACACCTCATACTTTAGTGGTTTTGACTTGATTGGAGTTGTTTGTCCTAAATAAACATGTTTTTTTAACCGTCGACATGGTGTGTCTCCTGTCTGTTGTGGCCTTTTGAGCCGGGTCGTAACAGTTTGTTATAAGATAAGCTACAGAATGCATTAAGCCTCCTTGACTTGAGGAAAATCTAGATACTTCTACTTCCTCACCACTAGATGGAGACACAGTATCTGTGAACCAGTGGTTTGTACATACTGTGACTCCTGGGTTATGTACACATATGTCATGGTTTCTGTGATGTTGGTATTGTTTGTTTTATTTAAATAGTTTACATATTCATCTTTTACAATTGTAATGGAATTGGTAAAGTAAGAGATGCAAACCATATGTGAGCATCCGTTACTGAATTAAATAACCTATACATAAATGAAACATTTGCATTGAGGTAGTCAGTATTTAATTTTTTTTCAGTGAAATTGTTCTTGAATAAATGTTTTCTTATGTACTGGTGAAAGCCTAGGCCAGAGGAATTATGTTTGTTTTTGTTGGTAGGCTACATGTCTCCACACGTACATGTGTATCATCTTTGTACATGCGGCATCTTAGGAATCTCTTCCGAAATGCCACACATGACCAAAGGAACTGATTTCACTTTGTAGTCAAAGGACACTTTGACTTCACCACTGTCCTATTCTGAACACAAACATTGAGCATCAAGACAAAGTGCAAAATAAACAATAATACAATAAAATGACATAAATATGCAACTAAAACAGTAATATAAATAAGACAAGTATAAAATAAATTAATAAAAGAGAAAATACTGTAAAAATAAGGTATAATTATTTGACATTATAAAAGGTAGAGGCAAACAGGAAAGTATTTTGGCCTTGGTTTGAACTATGTGATTCAGCAGGCCTGGGTTTGAAATTAAGCAAAAGGCCTCTGCCAGAGCCACAAGGGAGAAGGGGGACTGAGCAGTGACAGATGCCCAGATCAGGACCTTAATCTCCCATGCCAAAAGTCCTGGCACTGGGCCCCGGACCCTGGATGTCCCGTTCACACTCGGCCGGCAGCAGACAAAAGAAGAGAAATCAACAAATCAATAGGCTTTCAGCCATAACGAGGGAGGGGATGGGAGGTGGAGGAGTGATTGCTGGGCAGGGCCAGGTCTGCGGGTGTGTGAAGGGGAAGCATGGAGATTAGGTCCCTGTGTTGGGGGGGCGAGTCGGAGGATTAAGGGGCCGATTCAAACACTCGGTTATAGGGAGGAGACTCTGAGGTGTGTGTGTGTGTGTGCATGGATGGATAGATGGCTTCTGGGGGTCTAATCTGTCCCGGCCTTGGCCTGGTGCCTCTGTGCGGATTAGACGAGGGCCCCAAGTGCAGAGCCGCTGGCTAGGATTAAGCAGATTCTAACAGGTGTTTTCTTTTGTGGTGCTGAGGGGGGATCTGTCCATCACTCACTGAACGAGCAAATCATGAAGTGAGCGGCTAGTACTGAGGGGCCTGTGATGCCTAGAGGACATGACAAGTGTGTGTGTGGGTTTTGGACTTGGCTGCCCGGGGATGACTTGTCAGTTGTGTTCATGTGTCCATTAGGGTGTGAGATGAGGAAGAGAAAAACTACATTTACCTGGAACCAAACTGAGAGATTACTCACAAACACAAGCTGCAGGGATCTGCTGTGGGGAAGATTAGTGTAGCTGCTGCTGGAGAGCAGCGGAGAACACTTTCACACTGAAGGAGGATCAGATCAGAAGAGCTTAGCACAAAGCTTGTTACAAACCTCTTTAGCTAAGATTTAGAAATACACACACAAACAACACAGCTGGTGAGATAACTGTGAGGGTTAAACAATTGGAAAGATGTGATACTCTTAGATCGTCAGTAACCTATGAACCTATTTGATATTTTCATTTTTTTATACTTTGTTCCCTTTATGAGCCGTTCACTTTGTGATCCATGGTTGAAGAAAATAACACCATTTGGCTCAATCATGTGTTAATATAATTGCAGTTTTTAATTCGATAGAGTGTTGGACTCTTATGTTTTTCTTTTAGGAAATCAAAACAATCCACTTTACTATTATCTATCTATGAGACAATATGACAATATCTTAGTCCTTGACATGTCATTGTGAGACAAAGTTGATATTATTAGGCCTAAATATCATACAAAGGGCATTTTTTTGTATTACTGAAATGTGAAACATAAAAATGGGATGATATGAACACATTTGGCATTGCAGTGGGATGCAGACATTTTGTGCTGCTAACCAACATTACCCAGGAAAGGCGTGTATTATGTATGAACTGACAGACAGGAGGAGTGGAGTGATGGAGAGAGTGGGAGGAGAGCTAGAAAAAATCTCTGCTGCTCTCCTGCTGGGTCTTTAATGAAGTGGAGCCACTTCCTGGTTTGTTCCTCACAGCTGTTGTCCCTACAAAGCCAAGATATTTGGCCTTGGCTCTTTGTCCTGTCCGGGCTACCATACCTCCAAAGGACCGATCGAACACGCAAAAAGAAAAGCAAAGCATCTGGTGTCTTGTTCTATCAAAATACTCGGGAATGCAAACTTGCCTCTATCTGTTCCTTTCTCACTGTGATTTGGAAATGATCATGATAGCTAAAAATCACTAGTGAATACTGGAGTTTCAGAACAACTGTATATGGATGCCTTTAAAACGTATCCATTGTGTCCTTTACTTTAATCAAATTGCATACAAGAGATTTGTTTGTTTTAGATATGTTTTCTTTATTATTTTACATAGTGCAATGCTCTCACACATTCAAAACAAATACCTAGTACAGAAGCTGAAAATATAAAACAACCATATACAACAAGAAAGAGGGAGTGGGGGAAAGACGACTTCATTATTTTTATCAAATGTTTTTATTCACACACATTTTTATAAAAATACAATGTACAATCACAACACAAATTACAAAAAATACAGAAAAAACAAACAATAACAACAATCAGACAAGAGGACAAAACTAAGGATACAAATAAACCCTCCCACTCCCAATCCCAGGACCTCTCAGGACCAATCACTGCAAACAACTATATCAGTTAAGATAGCTACATCCGCTCCTTCAATTTTTCAGCTGACGACACCCATAAACCGATATTGGACTCCTTAACTCAAATCACGCGTGCAGTGGACAGTTCCATGTAGAGTACGTCAAAAATCGTTAGTAACCAGCAGGTCACTGAGAGCTTGTCGGGTTGTTTCCATAGCAACCAATTTCTTAGCAGCCGTAAGGCCAGCATAGAGAGGTCTTTTCTGGTACCCAGTAGCCGGCAGCTGAGATAAGTCATTCAAAAGAGAAACAGGTACAGTCAAAGAAAATATGTCGGACAACTTAGAGGAGACCCCGTTCCAAAAGCGAGCAACAGGCGGGCATTCCCAGAACATATGGAGAAATGTAGACGACTTCCTTATTGAACCAAAAGTGATCATGTCGCAAGTTGTCCTTCACACTTTATTTAATTTTGATCAGATTCACAATCCGGCTCATCGCAAAGTAGATACTACATTTGAATTTTCTTTGGTGTTTTGGTGCATAACACAAAATGAATTATTAAAGAGGAAATTACATTAAAAAAAATAAAGCATGTTCAAAAAAAAGAAGCAGAAAAATAAAATAGAAGAACATTACATTAAACTTATAAAATAATGATGTGAAATATGTTCAATTCATCATAATTAAAATTAAAGCTGAATAAAAGAACACTATCATTTGAAAGAATACAGGGAAATGTCTTTATTCACATATAAAATGTAGTTTCTACCATTCAAGACTTCATTAATGTTTTCCTCTTGAGAGATATTAAGCTATCTTTGGCTCTTTACTGTAACAACTGTAAATGTCCCTTCTGTGGGATGAATAAAGGTATTCTGAACAAACACCAAGCAAACCAACCAACCAGTAATTGGACTTAAAAACAAAGAACGACACACGTTCAGGCAATTAAATGGCCGAATTGTAATCTCAGCCGGTTTCTGTATATCACAGATGTTACATTTGTCTCAGTGGACTTCACAGTGTGTACCCTCTGTCCTTGGACCCTCACATCGTACAAGGAAAGAAACCACACAGTTAATGGGGAAACATGGAAGAAACCTCAGGGAGAGCAACAGAGGAGGGATCCCTCTCCCAGGAAGTACAGACGTGCAATCGATGCCGTGAACACTTTGTTCAGAGAAGCTGCAAATGTTCCATCTTTCCAAAACAACCAACAGTGACATCCTCTGGTGTTTACTGTGCAACATGTGGCCTCTTCTCACCTATGTGGAACTGCCACAGCGAACAGTGTGAGCAGGGTTTATGTGTGGAACAGGGCTTTCTTCTGTCCCCTTGTAAACCAGATGGCTCAAATTACTTTCGTTCAAACTGAAATGGGGGAAGAACAAATAATAACTCAGAGATGATGATGACATCCAACACTTTATTTTTCCCTTTGTGGTGGTGAGAGGATTTAATTTCCTCTGTGTTGTTTGCATGCCTCTGGATATCTTGACCTCTAGCTTCTGGCTCTGACACTCAGATGTCAACAGCTGAGGTGTTCGAGGCCCTTTGTCTGTGTGTGAGGTCCTAACGACACT